CTAACTAAGCCTGTCAGCTGCCACCTTACGCTTGTTTGGGCTTTACTGTTCTGCAATGACAGACTGCCATGGGGAGAGGAAACGAAGGGGGGAATTCTTGGGGAGATGAAAGTAAGGGCTGTATCTCCTGGAGATGCTGCCTCAAGGTCACTTGGCTGGAAGAAGGAGAGAGCTGCATGCCAAAGCTCGGACTGATCTTAATGAAAACATCTTTGCCTGAACCATGGGGGTGGGCAATGAGAGACAGTTAAAGGAGGAAAAAAATTGAACCTAGGGGATTTGGGCCCGCGATTCTCAGTTCTGGCTTTGCACTACTGCAGTACATTCGATCTCTAATAAAACTATATACCTTTCTCAACAGATGGAACCAAGGATTGTTTCTATTAAGTTGTGGCAGGTCCGACAAAGCCTTTTTAAAGCCCGCAAAACTTTGACTGGATTTATTTGGCCATGATTGCTCTAACACTGGAGGTTTTTAAGAAGAGATTGGACAACCATTTGTCCGAAATGGTATAAAGCAGGGGTGTCAAACTCACTGCCCGCGTGCTGGATGCGTCGTACACTGGCCACGCCCACCCCCGGTTTAGTGAAGGGGGGAAAGTTGTGATATGTCACATGACAACGTGATGCCGCAAGTTTGACACCCTTGGTCTAGCGGTTCCTGCTTGAGCGGGGGGGGGGGGGGTCAGACTAGAAGACCTCCAAGGTCCCTTCTAACTCCACATTCTTTCCTGACATGATGGCATCCATTCCAGACCTATTTAAACTACAACTCTCAGAACTGGCCACACTTGCTTGGAATTCTGGTAGTTGTAGTCCCAAAACATCAATAAAGCGATGTCAGGCTGGGCAACACTGCCCTAGGCCAGGGGTCTCCAACCTTGGGGAATTCTGGGAGTTGAAGTCCACCAGGCTTAAAGTTGTCAAGGTTGGAGACCCCTGGTCTACACTTCCAACCTCAAGCATCCTCTCACCTGCCTTTAACTTTCCTTTTCCCTTTCTTCGCTCCAAAGAAAACATAACTCTGGATCCTGACCAGGGGTGGGTTCTAATTTTTTTTACTACTGGTTCTGTGGGCGTGGCTTATTTTGTGGGTGTGGCTTGGAGGTCATGTGACTAGGTGGGCGTGGCTAGGTGGTCAGAGTCATTTCTGGAAGGTCCTCGCGCTTACGACCAGTCCTCGCACTTACGACCCGACTCATTTGTTTGCTTTTAACACTGATCAGCTGTAGGACGGCCCTTTGAAGCCCCGCGGCAAGAGTTTAAACAGTTTTTTTCCCTCTAGTCATCAGCTGGGACTCAGGAGGCAGCAATAGATTGGGGGTGGGACCAAATAAAAGGTAAGAATAACGTGGGGGGGGTGGGGGGTGGGGGGGAGGGCGGGGGGGAGAACCGGTTCGGTGACGTCATATCGTGACCGCTACCGGCTCGGCTGAACCGGACCGAACCGGGAGGAACCCACCACTGATCCTGACACAGCGAATGTTTGGCTAGTCTTCTGCAAAGACTGCAGAAGTGTGAAAAGGGAAGGAGATGTCCAGGATTTGCCCAGGAACACTGAGCGATTCGATCCCTGTTTCTACATCCTGGGAAAGGAAGGTTTTGCAAGTGGGACACACATCTGGGATGTCAGCGTGGGAAGAGGGGAAGGCTGGAGTATTGGGGTGGCTAAAAGATCCGTGAGGAGGAAGAAGGAGAAAGTTGAATATGGCCCAGAGCTTGGCATCTGGTGCATTGGGAACTGGGGAGGGGGTTACTGTATCTCATAACCCCGACTACCCTCCTCTGGTCCAGAAGGAGGAACCCAAGAAGATTGAGTGTCTCTGAACTGTGAAGGCTCCATATATACAGGTAGTCCTCGACTTACAACAGTTCATTTAGTGACTGTTCAAAGTTACAACAGGACTGAAAAAAGTGACGTGACCATTTTTCACAGTTCCGACCTTTCCAGCGTCCCACGATCATGTGATCAAAATTCAGGCGCTTGGCAACTAGGTTCATATTTACGATGGTCGTAGCATCCCAAGATGATGCGATCCCCTTTTACGACCTTCTGACAAGCAAACTCGATGGGGAAGCCAGATTCACTTAACAACCAGGATACTTACATGTCAACTGCAGTGATTCACTTAACAACTGAGGCAAGGGGTGTGTGTCCCATTTGCCCCGTAAAATGGGGCAAAACTCACTTAACAAGTGTCTCTCTTTAACAGCAGAAATTTTGGGCTCAATTGTGGTCGTAAGTCGAGGACTACCTGTACTCGGAGGCCCACTTCTCTGGACAAGCTCTCCCACCCTACTTCTACATGGATGATAGAGATAATTTCTCCTAAGGGCAATTAAAAGGGGGTGATAGCCTTGAGTCACATATATGGCTGTTACCTCAGGATAGGACTCTAACGCTACTTTCCCTCACTGATTTATTTGGAAAATGGCAATTGAGCTGAGCTCCAGACGAGCAGAAAAGGCAGCACAATATTACCTTTCTGTGTTTCTCTGGTGGCATCTAGTGGACTTCAAGAATCCATATATGATAGTCCTAGGCCCGCGATGGCAAACCTATGGCACGCCTGCCAGAGGTGGCACGCAGCACCCTCACTGTGGGCACGCGAGCCATTGCCCCAATTCAGGTCTGCCACACATGCATGCACACCTCCCGCCGGCCAGCTGGTCTTCGGGTCTCCGCCGTGCATGCGCTGGCGGCAGGGCATGTGTGAGGGGGAGTGTAAGTGCGTGGCGGGCGGGGGCGAGTGCGGGGGGCCACACGACATGCACAGGGTGCATGTGGGGGCGGGACGCATGCACAGGAGTGGACGGGCATTGCATTTTGGGGGTTCGGGCGCGTGCACGCAAATTGGGCACTCGGTCCGGAAAAGATAAGCCATCATTGTTCTAGGCTATCTTCATAAATGACTTAGATGAGGGAATAGAAGGAAAACTTACCAAATTTGCAGATGATACTAAGCTGCCAGGAATAGCTAACACCCTAGATAGGATGTCAAGATCCAGATGGATTTGACAGTCACTCATTTCACTCATGCCCTCATCACTTCCCGCCTGGACTACTGTAATGCTCTCTACATGGGGCTCCCCTTGAGGAGCACCCGGAGGCTCCAACTGGTCCAGAATGCGGCCGCGCGGGTGGTTATGGGAGCGACATGGCGCTCCCATGTAACACCTCTCCTGCGCGAGCTGCACTGGCTCCCGGTGGTCTTCCGGGTGCACTTCAAGGTATTGATTACCACCTTTAGAGCGCTCCATAGCTTAGGACCTGGGTACCTACGAGACCGCCTTCTGCCACCGGTAGCCTCTCACCGGCCAGTACACTCCCACAGAGAGGGGCTCCTCAGGGTGCCGTCGGTCAAACAGTGTTGACTGACGGCCCCCAGGGGGAGAGCCTTCTCTGTGGGGTCACCTGCCCTTTGGAACGAGCTCCCCCCGGAGATACGGAGGATCCCGGATTTCCGCACTTTCCACCGTGCCCTCAAGACTTTTCTATTCCAACAAGCTGGGCTGGCCTAACTCTTTTTAATTGTTTAATTTTAATTTGCTTTTAAAAATGGGGTGTTTTAATTAGTATGGGCCAAATTTATGTAACATGTTTTAACTTGTTTTTAAACTTTATATTGTATGTGTTTTATCTTTGGCTGTTCACCGCCCTGAGTCCTTCGGGAGAAGGGTGGTATATAAATCCAAATAAACATAAACATAAACAAACATAAACAGACTTGAGCACTGGGCCCTATCTAACAAAATAAAATTCAACGTAGAGAAAAGTAAAGTCCTACACTTAGGTAAGAAAAACCAAAAGTACACATACTGTACTTCAACTGGGTGAAACCCGGCTTAATAGCAGTGACACTGAGAGGGATCTTGGAGTCTTAGTGGAAAACCAACTAAATATGAGCCAGCAGTGTGCAGCGGCAGCCAAAAAAGCCAATACAATCCTAAATTGCATTAACAGAGGGATACAATCAAGATCAAGTGAGGTACTAATACCACTCTATAAAGTCTTAGTAAGACCACATCTAGAGTACTGCATCCAGTTTTGGTCACCACACTATAAAAAATGATGTTGTGAGCAGAGGTGGGTTTCAGCAGGTTCTGATCAGTTCTGGAGAACCGGTTGCGGAAATTTTGAGTAGTTCAGAGAATCGGTAAATGCCACCTCTGACTGGCCCCACCCCCATTTATTGGGCTTTTATCAAGGGCTTCTATGGGTCTGTTTCAGTCCAGGTTTACTCCCTCTGGTCCCATAAATGTTTCCTTTTTCCTATTTTTTTAAAAAAACATTTTCCCCTTTAACAAGCTGATTGGTCCAATAATAATTTTTTGGCAATTGGTCCCATGGATATTTCTTTCTCCCCAGGATTTTTCAATATCTTTCCCTTTAGCAAATGGGGGGACGGGCGGACGGACAATGGCCCTTTTATAGTTTGCAGACTTCAACTCTCAAAATTCCTGAGCCAGCTAGCTCACCAATTCTGGGAGTTGAAGTCAATCAATCAATCAGAATAGAGCTGGAAGGAGCCTTGGAGGTCTTCTAGTCTAGCCCCCTGCTCAAACAGGAGACCCGATATACCACTTGAAACCCACAAGTCATAAAGGGGCCATGGTTCCCCACCTCTCCTTTAGCAGAGCGTTTGGATCAATAATTGATATGGGGAGGTGGGGCATCCCATGAATGTTGGCTTCTCCCCCTTTTTTTAAACTTTCTTTTTCTCTTTACAGGATGCTAGGATCAATTGTAATCGATCCGGGGTTCATCGCAGGGATGTTTGCTTCTCTCCAGTTTTTAAAACAATTTTCCCTTTAACGAGCTGGTTGGGCCAAGAATAACCGATCAGGGGTCCGTCCCGTGAATTTTTCCTCCTCCCAATTTATTCTTTTTAAAATACTGCACTTTTTCTTTAAGAAGCCAGCGAAGCTGACCGCAAGACCAACAATTCATTTCGGTTTCCTGTCTGGGCAGAGTCCAAAGGCGGCCACCTGATTTGGAGGAAAAGAAGCGAAACTAACTTTCTCTTTCCTTTCCCTGCGGAGGAGGCGGCGATGGCGGCCGAAGCGCCCTTGCAGGATTTCTTGGTAGAAGCCACCTGCTCCATCTGCCTGGACTTTTTCCACGACCCCGTGTTCATCCCCAAGTGCGGCCACAACTTCTGCCGGGGCTGCCTGACCCGCAGTTGGGGGACGTCGGAATCGGAGGCTTCCTGCCCCCAATGCAGGCAGACCTTCGCGCCCCGCAGCGTCCTCCGCAACAGGCAGCTGGCGCGGCTGGCTGAAGTGGCCAGGCAATGCGGCGGCCATCCGGGCGAGGAAGGAGGGAGCCTCTGCCCGAAGCACTGGGAGCCCCTCAAGCTCTTTTGTAAGGACCACGAGACCCTCATCTGCGTGGTCTGCGACCGATCCAAAGAGCACAAGGGCCACTGGGTGATCCCTACGGAGGAGGCTTTCCAGGAATACCAGGTAGGAGTCAGCCAGGAGGAATCGCTGCGGAGGGGCAGCCAGGTGGCAATCTGGCAATCCTTGGACCAATTTACTTGTTTCCTCTGTTGTCAGCAAACTGAGTTTAGCCTGGTGCAGATACCAATCAGAACCAGACTGGAGACCCTGTTCAAGGGACTTTTATTGAAATGCTTCAAAAGGGTCTCACCAGTTAAAGGAGCCAAGACCCCGAACCATATACCAATACAAAGTTTATACACTGAAGATCAAGGAAGTCAACACCCTAAGAATCACTCATTGGTTCTTTGAGAGGTGTTTCTTTTGATCTCTTATCCTGGACTACTTTACCCTCCTCTTTCATAAATTGCATATTTTATGCTAATAATCTTTGTTATCAAAAGGAGTTCGTGTTTTATTATTATAATAAAGTAGAAGTTACCAAAGTTTATGTCTATGTGCCTCAGCTAACATTTTTCTAATCGGAGTCCTTCTAACTTTCTTTAATTTTCTTGTTGCTAGGTAGTAGTGTCCCACCCACCATTCATTACTGGTCTTATTACATCATGTGCAACTTTCTGCCTCGGCCATTCCTTTAACAATCTTCCCTAATTCCAACCTGAGACCTTCACCTCCTGCTTTATCTTCTGAGGTTGCAATTCTTTGAAGACAGATTTACCATAGTCCTCAATTTACAACCACTTGTTTAGTAACTGTTCAAAGTTACAACACCATCGAAAAAAGTGACTTATGACTGTTATCACACATATGACCATTGTAGCATCCCTGTGGTCACTGATCAAAATTGGGACGCCTGGCAACCGGCATGTATTTATGACGATTGCAGTGTCCCTGTCTTGCTTAGTAAAGGAAATTGCCTGTAGGGAGAAATAGGCTCCCTTTGCCAGCTCCCTTTCCGCATTTGCTCTAGAGCAAAATTGTCATGGAGTCCTCCAAAATCTTGAGTCCAGATGCCGAAAATCACTCCTGCTGGATCAGCCCAAACTATAATTTCTCAGTGATGTTTCTGGGATGACTGCAACCAGGAGACTCAGGCAGCTCACTTTAATGCCCTTCCAGGGAGTCCTCGACTAAGAGCCATTCGTTTAATGACTATCCAAAGTTACAAGGACAATGGAAAAAGTAACATAAGGCTTTTCACCCTTATGATCATTGCAGGCATTCCATGGTCACATGATCAAAATTCAGACATTTTCCAATTGTCATGTATTTATGACGATTGAATATATATTCTAACTAGGTCTTCCCTCCGATGTAATCCTTTACCGAAAAAAAACTAAAAACTTTGTATTTTCTCTTCAGATGAAGGTTGAGGATTGCCTGAAGGCTCAGAAGGAGCAGAAAGAAAAAATAGCTACATACAAAGGAGACATAGAGCAAAAATTGCAGGAGAGGCTTGTAAGTATTGATCCAATGGTTAGGAGCTTCTGAGCTAATAGAAAGATTAGATTAGATTAGATTTATTAAATTTCTATACCGCCCTTCACCCGAAGGACTCGGTGTACAGCCATCATAAAACAATATGAAAATACAAAATTTAAAACAATTTAAAAATAGATTAAATATTTCAGCCGTTACATTAAAACCCTCAAATTTAAAACACCCCATTCCAATTTCATTACGCCAGTCCAGCCTGTTGAAATAGCAGGGTCTTAAGGGCACGGCGAAAGGTACACAGGTCGGGAATCATACGTATCCCAGGGGGTAGTTCATTAAAGAGGGTGGGTGCCCCCACAGAGAAAGCTCTCCCCCTGGGGGTCGCCAGTCTACATTGTTTAGCTGACAGCACCCTGAGGAGTCCCTCTCTGTGGGAGCGTATTGGTCGGTGGGAGGCTATCGGTGGGAGGTGTCATGTGGGTGCGTCGGGTCGCACCCATAATCACCCGTGCGGCCGCATTCTGGACCAGTTGGAACCTCCGAGTGCTCTTCAAGGGGAGCCCCATGTAGAGAGTGTCGCAGTAGTCCAGACGTGACGTGACGAGGCGTGAGTGATTGTGCGCAGGGCATCCCGGTCCAAAAAGGGACGCAACTGGTGGATCAGGCGATAAAAAGCCCCCCTGGCCACAGCCGTCATATGGTTGTCTAGACAGCCGTGCATCCAGGAGGACACCCAGATTGCGAGCCCTCTCTGAGGGGGCCAGAGTTTCACTCCCAATAGCCAGCGATGGTACCAGCTGGCTATACTGGGAAGCCGGGAGCCATAGTCTTTGAGGGGTTGAGTCAGAGTCTGTTTCCCCCCATCCAGATCCACACGGCCTCCAGACATCGGGACATCACGTTAAGGGCATCATTGGGGTGGTCTGGGGTGGAGATGTACAGCTGGGTATCATCAGCGTACATATGACACTTCACCCCAAAACCACGGATGATCTCCCCCAGCGGCTTCACATAAATGTTGAACAGAAGAGGCAAGAGGACCAACCCTTGTGGCACCCCACACATGAGGCGCCTCGAGGTCGACCTCTGACCTCCTGCCAACACAGATTGCGTCCGGTCAGAGGAGAACCACCGCAGCACGGTGTCCCCCACTCCCAGCCCCTCCAGTCGGTGCAGCATGATATCATGGTTGATGGTATCAAAAACCGCTGAGAGGTCCAATAGGATTAGGACAGAGGAGCACCTCTTGTCCCGAGCCCTCCAGAGATCATCAACCAAAGCGACCAATGCCGTTTCCGTGCTGTATCCCGGCCTGAAGCCCGACTGGAACGGATCCAGATAGACAGCTTCATCCAGGTACCAAGGAAGTTGTTGCGCCACCACACTCAACAACCTTCGCCACAAAGCGGAGGTTGGAGACTGGATGATAGTTCGCTAATACAGCCGGGTCCAGAGCAGGCTTCTTGAGGGGGGGCCTCACCACTGCCTTTTTCAAGGCGGGGGGGGAGGAAACCCTCACTCAAAGAAGCGTTAATAATCATCTGGAGCCAGCCTCATGTGACCTCCTGGGAGGCCAGCACCAACCAGGAGGGACACGGGTCCAATAAACATGTGGGAGAGCTCAGCCTCCCCAGAATCCTGTCCATGTTCTCGGGAGTCACAGAGTCAAACTCCTCCCAGATAACACTCTCAAGACCCGCTTCCGTCAACCCCCCTGAACCCATCCAATCGGAGTCCAGACCTTCCCGAATCTGAGCGATTTTATCATGCAGGAATTGCACAAAATCCTCAGCTCTCTCCTGCAAGGGATCTTCCCGCACTTTCATATGGAGGAGGGAGTGGGTCACCCTAAACAGGGCGGCTGGGCGGTTCTCTGCAGACGCAATAAGAGTGGAGAAATAATTAGATTTCGCCGCTTTTATCGCCACTAGGTAGGTCTTAATGTAAGACCTCACCAGTGTTCGGTCGGATTCGGAACGGCTGGCCCTCCAATCACTCTCTAGGCATCTTCTCTGGCGCTTCATCTCCCTCAGCTCCTCCGAAAACCAGGGAGCCAGACGGGATCAGCATCGGGTCAGAGGCCGCAGAGACATGACTTGGTCCAAAGCTCCGGCGGCCGCCCTTTCCCAGGCTGCCACCAGTTCTTCAGTCGAGTCATGAGCCAGAGTCTCAGGGAATGGCCCAAGCTCCGTCAGGAACCTATCAGGATCCATCAGGAGAACCCCATCCGCCATCTTTAATAATAGGCAGCCTGTTTGTAAATACAAGTTCTGACTTAAATGAAATTGAAGCTAAAGACGGTGTAGGACACAGAACTTATTCTTAACCTGGGAACTGAGATGTCACCATTGGCTGAATGAGTCACGGGTTAAGTGCCCCTATCCCATGAGCCATCTTTTATACAATGGGTTTGTTTTGTTTAATAATTGAATGCAAACCATATATTATCTTATTGAAAAAATTGTGAATTCAAACATTTTTCTGTCTCCTTTTTTGGAATCCCAGATTGCCAAGAAAATTTTAATGAAAGATCTTTTTTTTTTTTAATTTGATTTATATGCCGCCCTTCTCCGGAGACTCAGGGCGGCTTACAATGCGTTAAGCAATAGCCTTCATACTTTTGTATATTTTATACAAAGTCACCTTATTGCCCCCACAAACTGGGTCCTCAATTTACCTACCTTAGAAAGGCTGAGTCAACCTTGAGCCTGGTGAGATTCGAATTTACAGTAATTGCAGACAGCTGGAGTTAAATACAATGCATTAGTCTGCTGAGCTACCCAGGCTCCTTTAAACTGGAGCCATTTACTTTTAGAAACCTTTCCTCCCTGCATGTTTTAATGTCAAAAGGGGTTTTTCCCCATCTCACTTCTGGATTCTTCAAGGGATCTGTTTAATTATTATAACAATTAAAATAAAAATTATTAAGTAAAATAATTAAAATAAAATCAAAATAAAATAAAAGTATGCCTTTTGCTTTTTCTCTTTCTTGTTCTAGGAAATCATCAAACAAGTGAAAAAAAATGTGGTTGCTGAATTCAGAGAGCTACAACTCTGGTTAGAAGGACAGGAGAAGCTGTACCTGGAAGAGATTTCTGCATATGCACAGAAACCTTTTTGGGTGCTTTACCCTGTTCCCCCTAAAATAAGACATCCCCTGATAATAAGCTCATTTAAGACAGGGTCTTATTTTCGGGGAAACACGGTATTAGTTAGAAGCACCGAAAGTTTAGTGGAATGCTTGGAGAAGGCCTCTAAGTGAATTAAAATGATTGGTTTGCTTTTACAGTAGATGCGAGGAAGGAATCCTATTTTGATGAAGACTTTGATGTTCTCACTTTACAAGCTGATTATGTTATCAGCAGAAAAAAAAGATTTTTTTTGTACTATAATTTACATTGGGAATTGCTAATTGTATTATGACTGAATTTTAGCTTTGAGACCTTTATGGGTAATCCTGTAAGGAGTTAATCATACAAATTGACAGTATTTAAAAATAGAATGAGAAAAGAACCCCACAAAGAAATGATAACATTCAAGAAAGAGGCACCTGTTCAAATTTCTCCCTCAGCATGCATATTATTCACTGCTTCTGAGTCCCATGAAAATCAACTTTAAAACTCTTTTACTTACATCACACTAGGTCATCATGTGGATTATGCATTTTGTTTTAGCTTTTATATTTTTGGATTACATGCAAATGAGCCCATTGTCATTTATTTAACAATTTGATTTTTTTTAAAAAGAAAACACTCCCTTGGCATTATATGATAACCCATATTCTTGTTAATAAATTAATCTGATATATGACCTACTAAGAAAGTTAAGAATATTATACTGTGTCTTTATAAGCTTTTATATAATTTTTCTTACCCATAGGCAGAACTTCACCTCCTCTTTCACAAAGGGTTATTCTCCCAACCCTGTTAAAATGTTTTCCTCCAATCCATAAAATGCCACAAAAGTATATTGACATATTTAGCATAGCCCTCTTTGCTGCACTCTATTCTCCTCAACAAAGAAGCAAGTGTTTGGTTCAATCCTTGAAAATTTAATTCAGGGCACTTCAAAGAATGCTGTTAGGATTCTCCTAACATCAGCTGCTGTTGGGAAAAACAACTACCAAGAGCAATATCTAAAGGAGGAGACAGGTTTTTGTCCGATGGCTTGACCAACCAAATAAAACTTGGCTTTAAGTTAGTGATCCATGGGGCTGAGTGTGTGCCTAGTGCTGTTTTATCAGTCAAAACTATCCCTCTGCTCCATTGGTCTTGGTGACGGTAGCTTGCTTGGCAAAATAGCCTATAAAACTATGAAGCACTAGTTGTTATTAGATTTATGTCTCACCTTCTCTTCTCTTTGTACCAATCAATGAACCTCCACAATGTTTCTATTTGGCAGCAGCTCTTATTCCCACCTAACTATGGTTTTCAGTTACCTCCACATCAGGGGTGGGTTCTACTTACCTTTACTACCGGTTCTCAATGGGGTATTGGTATGTCGAACCCAACACCTGATGTGGAGGTAACTGTAAACCTAGGGTTAGGTGGGATAAGAGCTGCTGCCAAATAGAAACATTGTGGAGGTTTCATTGAGTGGTACAAGACGAAGAGAAGGTGAGACATAAATCTAATAACAACTAGTGCTTCATAGTTTTATTGGCTATTTTGCCAAGCAAAGCTACCGTCACCAAAGACCAATGGGCAGGAGGGATAGTTTTGACTGATAAAACAGCACTAGGCACACACTCAGCCCATGGATCAGCTAACTTAAAGCAAGTTTTAATTGGTTGGTCAAGCCATCGGACAAAACCTGTCTCCTCCTTTAGATATTGCTCTTGGTAGTTGTTTTTCCCAACAGCAGCTGATGTTAGGAGAATCCTAACAGCATTTTCTTTGAAGTGCCCTGAATTAAATTTTCAAGGATTGAACCAAACACTTGCTTCTTTGTTGAGGGAGAATAGAGTGCAGCAAAGAGGGCTATGCTAAATATGTCAATATACTTTTGTGGCATTTTATGGATTGGAGGAAAACATTTTAACAGGGTTGGGAGAATAACCCTTTGTGAAAGAGGAGGTGAAGTTCTGCCTATGGGTAAGAAAAATTATATAAAAGCTTATAAAGACACAGTATAATATTCTTAACTTTCTTAGTAGGTCATATATCAGATTAATTTATTAACAAGAATATGGGTTATCATATAATGCCAAGGGAGTGTTTTCTTTTTTAAAAAAAATCAAATTGTTAAATAAATGACAATGGGCTCATTTGCATGTAATCAAAAATATAAAAGCTAAAACAAAATGCATAATCCACATGATGACCTAGTGTGATGTAAGTAAAAGAGTTTTAAGTTGATTTTCATGGGACTCAGAAGCAGTGAATAATATGCATGCTGAGGGAGAAATTTGAACAGGTGCCTCTTTCTTGAATGTTATCATTTCTTTGTGGGGTTCTTTTCTCATTCTATTTTTAAATACTGTCAATTTGTATGATTAACTCCTTACAGGATTACCCATAAAGGTCTCAAAGCTAAAAATTCAGTCATAATACAATTAGCAATTCCCAATGTAAATTATAGTACAAAAAAAATCTTTTTTTTTCTGCTGATAACATAATCAGCTTGTAAAGTGAGAACATCAAAGTCTTCATCAAAATAGGATTCCTTCCTCGCATCTACTGTAAAAGCAAACCAATCATTTTAATTCACTTAGAGGCCTTCTCCAAGCATTCCACTAAACTTTCGGTGCTTCTAACTAATACCGTGTTTCCCCGAAAATAAGACCCTGTCTTAAATGAGCTTATTATCAGGGGATGTCTTATTTTAGGGGGAACAGGGTAGAAGCACCCAAAAAGGTTTCTGTGCATATGCAGAAATCTCTTCCAGGTACTACAACTGCCAGAAGAAGTTTTGAGGTGATGCAAAGCTTTTTTGTGAGGAAAATTGGATTGATAATGGTGATTTTTCTGTTGTATGAAGTTCACTTTTAAGGCAGGACTAAGCTGCCTTGCCCAGGCCTTGTAACTACCAGAAAATGATTATAATTATCCAACCTATATCAATCTGAAGCCTTTTTGATAATCTTTCTGCCTGAGGATATTGGGATCTATAGTCTAACACATTTTAAGATCACTAGATCGGGGAAGACCCAGTTACAGCATCAGGCTAGAAACTGTGAGTTCTAGTCCTGGCCTAAGCCACAAAGCCAGGTGGGTAGCCTTGAGCCAGTCACTCCCTTAGTCCAAAGAAGGGGACTATATTGAAGCCACTATTGCAGGGCTGTCAAACTCCCAGCCGATGGGCCAGAAGCGTCACGTGCTGGCCACGCCCCCGACCTGTTTAGCGAAGGAGAAAAAAGTCCCATATGTCACGTGATGCCGCCATGATGATGTGAGTTTGACATACCTGCACTATTGAAACAAGAGTCAGTTGCATACAGTATGGTAACTGTGGCAGGTAAAGTAGAAGGTTGTTATATTACCTTTTCCTTTTCTCCAGATGTCACTTGTCTTCTTGTGATTAGACCTATGGGTCTAATTACAGATTAGACCCTTCAGCTAGGAATGCTGAAGGATTTCCTTCAGCATTCCTAGCACCTACATACATCCTTATTGGAGAGGGATGCATTTTCCTTGGACTATTTTGATTTTTGTTATTCTCCAAGCAGTTCTTCCACTCTGAACCATAGCTATACAGAAATAATTTTCCATACTTTTCTACAAAGCATATATTGTATGACCTAGTCTTGCCTTGAGTTCTGCTGAATTTCTTTGATGTTGAAGCCTCTCTGTTGTGTTGTAAAGTCTATAGGGTAAGCCTGTCTGCTAGTATTCTGAATTTACTTTCTGATGCCATCATTTACCCAAATTTAGTGGAGTGTGTGATAGTATGAGCCACATTTAAATGGCTGCCCTCTCCTACGGAGTTCCTCAGAGCTCAACACTTTCCCCACACTTATTTAACTTTTACACGAAGCAACTGAGCATGCTCATTCCATACTGCAGGGTGAAGAATCATCAGTGATACTTAATTGTACGTCTCCCCCTGGAATGACCAAGTGATGTGGTAGAGGTTCTGTTTCAGTGTCTGAAGTGTATGTGGATCTGCATGGAGAAGAAGTTTCAACTCAGTCCAGAAAGGCCTAATGACTTTAGGTTTTACAGCTTCTTGGATCCAAAGATTTTTCCTTCTCTAATTCTGGATTGGGCTGCACTAAGACAGAACCATAATTCAAGGGTTCTCCTGGACCAGGGGTCAACAACCTGTGGCTTTGGAGCCGCATGTGGCTCTTTCATCCCTCTGCGGCGGCTCCCTGTTGCTGGTCGGCTCCACAATTGATAGGGCTTTTGGTTAGGACAGGTAGAAGAAAAAGGATGCCGTGCTAGGAGGAGACTCTATGGTGGGGGAATGGACTTCCAGTCAGCAGAGGAAAAAGGACGCCGGATTAGGAGACTATGATGGGGGAACTGGACTTCTGGTTGGCTCCAAAATTGAACAGGCGCTTCTGGTTAAGACCTTTGTGGCTCTTTGAGTGTTTAAGATTCCCGATCCCTGTCCTGGACTCATGGCTTTTGTATGAGGATTAGTTGGCAGCCATGGTCAGGAGGGCTTCAGCACAACTTTCTGCTGTGTTCCAATTGGACCTTTCTTGGATCAGGCAGTGTTCACAAGTTCACCTCTCAAGTGGCTTACTGCAACATGCTGAATGTGGGCAGCCCTCAAAGAACATCCAGAACCTGCAGTTAGCCCAGAATGTGATGGCTTGAACAGTTATAGGTGTCCTTCAATATACTTATGTTGCATCCATGCTTCATGAGCTGCATTAGGTCCCAGGAGGCTTCTGGGTGCAATTCAAAGTGCTAATTGTCACCTATAAAGCCTTTTATAGCATGGGATCAAATTATCTGAGGGATGTTTCTGTCCAATTGTCTATATCCACCCTGTCAGACCTGTTAGAAACAGCATGTTTCAGGTAGTGTGGTCTGGAAAGATTCAGGGATTGTGCCTTTTCTGGAACAATGCTTCTGGAATATCATTCCCCCCAACCTTGCTGGCCTTTGCTAAAAACTTATCTCTCAATCATGAGAGTTTGGAAGACATTGAGTTGAATGAATTTGCTGAATTTAACTTGTTTGTCTCCGATGGCCATTTTTCTTTCATTTTCTGAGGCATTCTATTTATTGAATTTTGTCATTATATTGATGTTTTTATTGTGCCAGCCACACATAATCACTTTATATGAGATGGACAGCCATATGAAACTAAAAAACAAACAAACAAGTCTTTAGAGCTTCCATGGGTGAAGATGTGGAATGAGAAATGAGGAAAATTAGATGAGATCAAACATAAAGAGATGAAATCACTGTGCAAAGCCTCATATTTATCTAATGTCAAGCTAGAACAGAATTCAGATGTCATCAATAATTCTATTTTTATCGTAAAGTGTTATTTTCTTTTATGCTTTGAGGTAATGTACAGGTAGTCCTCAAGTTACAACCACAATTGAGCCCAAATTTATGTTGCTAAGTGAGAAATTTGTTGAGTTTTGCCCCATTTTACAACCTTTCCAACATCTTGCAGGATATCTGGTGGAACAGAAGCATCAGGAGAAATAACAGAACCATTTCCACTTCTTGCAGAATCTGGTGGCTCTCAAAGAATCAGAGGAGCAGTTCACGGAGACAAAAGGCCCTTGCAATACCACAACTGCTGTTGTGCCTTTGCTGCCACAGATGGAGGCTGGAGTCCACAAGGAATTCATCTGAAAGAGCCTCAAGGTTTAAAGTGCCGAATAATAACTACTCAGATACCAAAAGCTTTTATGTACCCGAGTTCCCAAACTCTGATGAAAGATGCCTCCTGCATTTCTCTTGAATGTGATGTTTATGTCAACTCAGCAGTGAACTTTGGAGAATTCCCTGGAGGTGAGATTGGAAGGCAGTCAATAAATCAATGTGATCTTGATAATGGTAAAGAGAAGAGGCATTCCCTGTACTCTCCCTGTCTCTAGGCTTGTCCTGTGAGTTCATGAAGAAGGGAACAAGGAAGAAAAACTTGTTGGTGAGAAGCCTCTGATGTAGTTCCAGAAGTATTTGGAAGCCCATGGACTGAACTTTGTCCAGTGAAACTTTTTTGTCAGCAATTGTGGAGAAATCAAGCCTGTGGGTTTTTCTCCACTTGATTGTGTTGTTGTTAGTCATGAAGTCATGTCCGACCCATCACAACCCCATGGATAACATTTCTCTGGGCCTTCCTGTCCTTTATCATCCTCTGGAGTCCATTTAAGGTCACACCGACTGCTTCAGTGACTCCATCCAGCCACCTCATTCTCTGTCGTCCCATTCTTCTTTTGCCCTCAATCTTTCCCTGCATTAGGCTCTTCTCCAGTGAGTCCTTCCTTCTCATTAGGTGGCCAAAATATTCGAGTTTCATCTTCAGGATCTGGCCTTCTAAAGAGCAGTCAGGGTTGATCTCCTCTAGGACTTGCAGGAGTCTTCTCCAGGACCATAGCCTCAATTCTTTGACCTTTCCTGTGGTCCAACTTTCACAGCCATAGTCCATATCAAAGCTGCAAAGATGGTTTTATTGATCTATTGGTTTATTCAATTTCTATGACTGCTCATCTCATATAACCCACCAAGCAATATAAAAACATCACCATAATAATAAAATAACTATATATGTCAGAAAATGCCCTTCACAGTAAAATGTATAGGCCCACTTAAGTTTCTGACCCCGTGACTGAGGGAACTGTTAGGTTTAGGAACCTTCTCAATGATCAGAAACATTGGCACCTACCTACTTTTGGGAGAGATTGTTGTTCCCAATGCTAGGCACAACAGCAGAAAACCAAGCTTCTAGATTCACTAGATCAAGGATCTCCAACCTTGGCAACTTTAAGCCTGGCGGGCTTCAACTCCCAGAAAAGCGGGCTGGGGAATTCTGGGAATTGAAGTCCGTCAGGCCTAAAGTTGCCAAGGTTGGAGACCCCTGCACTAGATCACACTTCTTAAGACATGGAACCAATAAAATGCCCTTTCTGCTTGTCTGGATGGAACTTCTAGAGACAGTTGGAGAAAAGGGTACTATGTAGAACTTTATAGTTGACAACCAGAATCTTATATCAGGGATCCCCAACCCCTGGGCCATGGTTCAATACCAGGCTGTGGCCTGTTTGCAACTGGGCCGCACAAACAGCAGGCAAGTGCATATACAGGCGGTGGGTGCTCGCACTTGTGCATAAAGTTCCATGTCTGAAAATGGAGCTGCACACACAAGCACACACACTGATGGCTTACACAGAACCGTCCCCTCTCTCCCATCTATCAGCTGACCAAGCTGGAAAGGTTGGGGACCTTGCCTTATATTCCACCCGGAAGCATGTTTTGTGCTCACGTAGCTTACAAAGGAAAGGTTTAGCATGAAAATAGCAATAGCACTTAGACTTATATATTGCTTCACAGAGCTTTACAGCCCTCTCTAAGTGGTTTACAGACTCAGCATATTGCCCCCAACATTTTTGGATCCTCAATTTAGTCACCTCGGAAGGATGGAAGGCTGAGTCAGCCTTGAGCCTGGTGAGATTTGAACTGCTAAATTGCAGGCAGCCGGCAGGCAGCAGAAGTAGCCTGCAGTACTGCACTCTAACCCCTGCTAGAATTGTTAATGTTGGCACCTTCTGAAGCCATCTGATTTTGATAATGGTAAAGAAAAGAAGCATCCCCTCTGTTCCGTCCCCATGTCTGTCCTGTGAGTTCATGAACAAGGGAACAGGAAACGTGTTTGTGAGAAGCCTCTGGTTGTCCTTTCCTTGAGCCCTGAGCAGATGCACATCTCAGGATTGCAAGGCTGAAGGCTTCAGATGGAGCATTTTTGCAATGTCCGCAGACCGCGATTATGGGGCTGAGCTGCAGTGAAGGTCTGCCTCCTATGCTGGCCATGCCCACCCCCTTCACTAGGGCTAATTTTTGGGGTAGGTCATATTTTCAGGGAAACATGGTAGAAGACCTCCAAGGTCCCTTCCAACTCTGTTATTCCACTATTCTGTCTTGCTAGTGTTGAGCTGAAACAAGAGGGATACATACAAAGAAATATGGAATAAGGGTGTATATTGAGGATTTCCAGAACTGCTTATGTTGATGCATTCTGGACCAAATGCAGCATCTGGAGGTTCTTTAGGGATAGTCCCTTATAGAATGCATTAAAGTACTCCATCTAGGAAGTGACCAAAGCAGAAATGACAGTGTGTAATGCTCCTGGCTCTGAGAAAGCCTGCAATTGGGATGGAAATAACGTTGTGCCAAAGGACTCCTGTCTATCACTTGCATGTACTCCAGGAATACCACCAGATTATGCATTGGGTTTCTCTAGGATATTTCAACCCAAGCCAGGCTCTATTTGTGAGATGCGTGGCTATACAATTTTGATTAATAAGCAAATGGCCCGTAATCTTGGTGTCCTCCTTGACTCCCGACTGTTGTTGGCAGATCATCTGACGGCCGTGACAAGGGGGGCTTTTGCACAGGTTCACCTAGTACGCCAGTTGCGGCCTTTCCTAGACAGAGATGCCCTTCGCACAGTCACTCAAGCTCTCATTGTCTCTTGGTTGGACTACCGCAATGCCCTCTACATGGGGCTGCCCTTTGGGTGCACCTAGAGGCTCCAGCTAGTCCAGAATGCAGCCGCGCGGGTTGTTATGGGAGCTTTCCACTACTCCCGGGCTACACTTCTCCTGCGTGAGCTGCACTGGCTACTGGTGGCCTTCCGGATCCGTTTCAAGGTGCTGGTGCTTACCTATAAAGCCCTTCATGGCATGGGCCCAAGGTACTTGCAGGACCACCTTCTGCCGGCCTGCCAACGCCCTGTGTGGTCTCATAGAGCTGCCCTCCTCCGGGTGCCGTTGGCCAGACAATGTCGGCTGTCGACCCCCAGGATGAGGACATTCTCTGTGGCCACGCCGACCCTCTGAAATGGGCTACCCACTGAGCTCCGAACGGCTCCAGATCTCCGCACTTTTCGTACTGGTTGGAAGACATGGCTGTTCCACCAAATCCCGTGACCGGTTACAGGGTTTTATACTTGGGGATTTTATAATTGGATTGTTTTAGTTTGTATTGTTGTCTTTTTTTATCATGTGAGCCACGCCGAGTCCCAAGGGAGAAGGGCGGCATACAAATTTTAATAATAAATAAATAAATAATAAACAAATAAATAAATATAAATGGAAAATCACTGCATCCAGAGGCTCCTAAAACCCCAAACCTCCTCTCTTTTGCTCAGTCTTTTGCTATTTTTTGGAGTATAAGATGCAGCTTTTTCCTGCAAAAAAGAGGGTGGAAATCTGGGTGTGTCTTATACTCTGAATGTAGCCCCGCCCAGCTTCTCAAACGGAGGTTTCAGTGGCTGAAAAAAGCATCAGAAACAAAGCTTCAGAAAAAAAAAGCCTCCAAACAGAGCTTCAGAAAAAAAGCCTCAGAAACAGGGCTTCAGAGGCTTTTTTTCTAAAGCTCTGTTTTGGAGGCTTTCAGAGGCAGGAAAAAAAAGCAAAAAAAAAAGCAAGGCACAGAGTTCACAACCAACAAACTTGTTGCTAAAATTCACCTCTGGGAACAGCTGATTGGGGATATTCTGGGAGGCTGATCCACCCACCAATCAGCTTTTTTCTTATTTTCTTCCCCAAAAACTAAGGTGCGTCTTATACTCCGGTGCATCTTATACTCCAAAAAATATGGTAAATCTAAGAAATAAATAGGCAGGGAACATTTTTTCTTCCCTTCTCTTTTCCCAAAGGCTCAAAAAAACATCTCCCCCCCCCCCACAAGTGGATGTGAGGACCATAAATGGAGATGGAGCTGATCAAGTAGCTGATTTGTTGCTGCTGCTATGGGTGATGGTGTGTTTTTTTAATGGGTTTTTATTATATGCTGAAGTTTTCCATATTCTAAGCTGCTTGGAGTGACCTATGTGTCAACTGGGTGACTATATATACTGTTTAAAATAATAAATAAATAAACCAAATCACTTTGGGTAGCAAACAATTCTAAAGCAATTTAAAAGAGTGCAAAATAAATTGTACTTATAATAATTGGCAGGAAAGCCAAGAAACAGAGCCCTTCATGCATGCAGGACCCTAGCTGGGGCACATAGCCAGATTTTAAAACCTTACATAGGCCACCATGAGTACTATTGCTGATGATGAAGTACTGATTACGCTACCTAGTTGGGTAGTGAATCTGCAAGAAAACAAGCAGATTTACCAAGCACCAAGGACTCCATAATTCAACCCTGGTGGAGAGCCTGGTGGCGCAGTGGACTAAGTGCTGTTAAAGTAGCACTTAGTTGCCAGCTGCCAGCAATTACTGTAAGTTCAAATCTCACCAGGCTCAAGGTTGACTCAGCTTTCCATCCTTTCGAGGTAGGTAAAATGAGGACCCGTATTGTGGAGGCAATAAGCTGACTTGGTGCTTGGGAGGGGGGGCGGCCGAAAGCCCTACTAAGCAGGTATATACAAAACTATGAAGGCTATTGCTTAATGCATTGTAAGCCGCCCTGAATCTCTGGAGAAGGGCGGCATATAAATCGAACTAATAAATAAATAAATAAATAAACCCTGAGCTACAGAAAATCTATTGGTAAATACTTTTATTATCTTCCACTTTTTCTTTTATTCCTTCCCATTTCCTTATTTTCCTTATTTTTCTTTTATATTTTTGGATTTTTTTAAATCTTATGTACAATCGTCTTTAATAAAACCTTGATAAGAGCC